GGTCACGGATTTTAGAGCTCCCTCGATTATATTCCTAATAGCTTAATTATGGCTACACTGAAAGAAACTAAGGGAAGAAAACGAACTCCTACAATCGGAGATCGAAGGGTTAAAGAACCAACTATACAAGATATATAAACGAAGATTTGAAAACACAACAAGCTACTGCAGCATCAAAGTCGAGCAGAACCGCTGAAGCGAAACAGCCAAAAGATACGATCGAACGAACGAACTCTGAGGAACGAGCAGAGGCTGTTGTCTTTATGAGCAAACAATATGATGATCTAGAAGTATTCCGTAAGCAAGCGACGCAAGATATTCAACAGATCACAAAAAAATTGGATTCAATCAGTAAAAAATGCGATGAGATTACTGAGGCCATCGAAGCGGCCGAACAATATAGCTACCAATACAACATTAAGATCATGGGCGTACCGCAATTAAACGAGAAAGAATCGGCTGAAACTACAGCAAATCTTTGTATCGAGCTCTTTACGGCTATGGGCGTAACTGATGTATCTTTACAGGACATAGACATTGCACATCGTGTCCAATCTAGAAGACCTTCACAAAATTCCAACCCAATTATATGTAAATTTGTCCGTCGACTAGCTAAAGAAAAGATTATGGCGGCTCGGAAACATGCATTAGATAATATCACGCCCGAACAGCTTGGTATTGAAATGGCCTATTCTTCAAGTACATGAATTAGCATGTTTGACCATTTGACACCACGCCTACAAAACCTTCTGTATGAAACAAAAAGGTATAAAACAAGCAAGGATTATAAGTTCTGCTGGGCAAGAAACAGCCAAGTTTATTTAAGAAAATCAGAGAACCCTGGAGTAATCCGTATAAAAACACTGCAAGACCTGACCAACCTAATTGAACAGGAGTCATTAAGATAATCTGTTAACAATACCTCAGCTAAGTACTTAATTTTTCTTTGAATTTTAAATGATGAGTAGAACAGAAATCCATATTACTGATAGAACTATTCTGGCTCAATTACCTTTCTATGGTGTATATAGTGATGATGTTTTTATCGATCACTGTACCAGTGAAAGGTATTTGAACAAACTTACTAGCCTGTGTGATCTAGACGTATTCAATCTTAATATTGAAACAGACGCTGATATTAATCCGGATCGAAATGCAATGAGCAACCATATTAAATGTAAATATTATTCTCCAGAGAGCTTTACTAAAATTGAAAAGGATCCATACGGCTCAAGTGATAGCCGTTTTTCTTTTTTTCACAATAATGTATGTATAGTCTGCGCAGAAACTTAGAACATTTGCAAACTCAAATATTGGATGAGCTTGATTTTTCATTTAGTGTAATAGGCATCACAGAAACGCGTATCAAACAAAATAATTTTAATGATTTCAACTATAATATTACTGGATATTCATTTGAATTTGTACCAACGCCTCTTGCTGCTGGAGGTGTTGGAATGTACAGGGTGTATAAAAAAAAAACGCAACCTCGGAATTTCCTAAGAAATCACTTTGCAATTCTTAAGCATAAAAGATTTTAGGCCCCTGGGAATTGAAATCGAATTGCTAATAGATCCTATTACTGTTGTTGTGCATTAAATAAATGCATAAATTTTGCTTTATGCACTCGCGTGTGCAGTAATTTTGACAGTTGTGCTATTTTAAATTCCCAGGCGCCTAAAATCTTTTGTCTTCAAAACAATGTCGATTTCTTGGGAAATTCCGAGGTTGCGTTTTTTTTTATACACCCTGTACAGGGTGTCTCAAAAAAACCCAAAATCATTGAAATAACGTATTGTTCGAATTTCAATGCCGTAACACAAAGGATTTTGACAGGGTGATTAATTTGTTTTAAAAAATTAAAATATCTTTGTAAAGTGAACGTTTGTTTGCTCATGGGAATTTAAAATGCTTCGTAAATTGTAATATGCGTAATATGCATTCGTGGGTTTAGTACTTTATGCCTGACATAACAAGTTTACGCTGAGTATTACCATTCATTATAGCAGTTATGTCAATCTTTTATGCACTCGTGGGATTAACTTAGTGCTAGGGCATTGAATATCGAACAATACGTCAATTTCAATGATTTTGGGTTTTTTTGAGACACCCTGTATATTAATAATCGATTTAATTATGTGGTCATTGAAAAGGCAATTAACATAGCTTACCAAGCACTTTGGATTGAAATTGATATTCCAAAGAAAAGAAATATCATATGCTCAGTTATACAGGGTGTCCCAAAAAACCCGAAAACTATTGAAATCACTTATTGTTAAATTTGAATGCCCCACCAAACAGCTGGACGTAATGATGCGTAAAATATTGACAAGGTGCATGTATTAGAATTTAGTTAGGAATATCTCCTGGTAAAGTGCGCGATTTTCTGCTCCTGGGAATTAAAAACAGCTTCTTAAACAGTTTCTTTATGCATAAAATTTACTTATGTCAATCATTTATGCACTCGTGGGAACCAACAGAGCGCTAAGGCATTCAAATTCTAACAATTAAATTGTTATTGGTGATTTCAATAGTTTCAGGGTGTATCAATAAAAACGCAACCTCGGAATTTCCTAAGAAATCACTTTGCAATTCTTAAGCATAAAAGATTTTAGGCCCGTGGGAATTGAAATCGCATTGCTAATAGATCATATTACTGTTGTTGTGCATTAAATAAATGCATAAATTTTGCTTTATGCACTCGCGTATGCAGTAATATTGACAGTTGTGCTATTTTAAATTCCCAGGCGCCTAAAATCTTTTGTCTTTAAAACAATGTCGATTTCTTGGGAAATTCCGAGGTTGCGCTTTTTTTTATACACCCTGTATACAGGCAGCATAATTTGCCTGAGGCGTTTCAAACATACTTTGAACAAAAATTAGAATATTATACCTCAAAAGGCAAGCATGTGGTTATCATGGGTGACTTTAACATAGATCTTTTAAAAATTGACCAATGCAACTACGCACATAATTTTATACTATTTGTACAACTACGCACATAAACAAAGTTGCTCGATGATCCCTAGCATTGATAAGCCTACACGTGTCCACAGAAATTCATCCACGCTAATTAATAACATATTTATCAAAAACCCTGATAATATATTAGCCAGTGGGAATATAATATCTGATGTGAGTGACCACTTTTCACAATTTTGTATTTTAGATTCTATAGCTAGCGTGAGGCAGAATATTTTTAAACACAAATATCGTGACTATTCACAATTTTCCGAAACTTTGTTTAATAATGAGCTCTCAGAAATAGACTGGGAGTCGATTTTAATGAATTCGTCAGACAACCCAAACAAGGCATTTTCGACTTTCTTTAATGAATTAAACAAAACTCTAAATAAACATGCACCGCTTAAAACTATTTCAAAACGTAAACTGAAACAATCAATCAAACCATGGATAACGAAAGGGATAAGACGATCAATAAAGATTAAGAATAAGTTATTTCACTCTAATAATAACACAAAATACAAGTTATATCGTAACTATCTTGTAACTTTAATTCGGTCAAGTAAAAAGTTGTATTACTGTGATTATTTTAACTCCTATTACAATAACATGAGTAAAAAGTGGGAAGGAATAAGGGAAATACTAGGGCGCAATAGCAAAACTAAAAAGAATATCAATGCAGTTCGACAAGATTCAAATGCCCAATTAACATTTGATCCCACAAAGATATCAAACATAATAAACCATCATTTCGCTTCTTGTGGTCAACGATTAGCTGCAAAAATACCTCATTCTGAAAAACATTATTCAACATATCTTCCTGACCAAATCATGTACAATTCCGCCAATGCTTCCCAACAACAAGGGTCTTTTGCTTTTATCCCAGTAACAGCTCGAGATATTGAACTTGAAATTATAACATTACCTGCCAAAAAGGCTGAAGGCCTGTATTCGTGCCCTTATCGAATCTTAAAAAGTGCCCAACATGTTATTAGCAAGCCTTTAGCAGATATCTTTAATTGCTCCATTGAAACTGGAATATATCCTAGCAAACTTAACAATTTACAAACCTATACAATACTGATGACGAAACTGACCCAAATAATTATCGCCCAATATCTCTTCTATCCTCATTCAATAAAATTTTTGAAAAAATTATGTATAAACGCTTACAAAGTTATCTAGCTAAGAAAGAATTTTTCTGTGATTCACAATATGGTTTTCGTAAACAACATTCAACCCAACACGCTATTCTTGATATTATTAACACAATTCAAGATAATATGGATAGAAAAATGTACTCCTGTGGTATATTTATTGACCTAAAAAAGGCATTTGACACGGTTGATCATGATATTCTGTTGGGTAAGCTAGATTATTATGGTATTAGAGGAGTAATCAATAACTGGTTTTCTTCTTATCTTAAAAATCGCACGCAAACTACTTCAGTTGGAAACTGTGTATCTAACAAAGAAACTACCTTGTGTGGAGTACCCCAAGGCTCAGTTCTTGGACCTCTACTCTTTTTGATCTACATCAATGATATTTGTGAATCATCTAAGATTTTCAAATTCTTTCTTTTTGCTGATGATACTAACTTATTGTATGCTGATAAAGACCTAAAAATGCTTGAAACAGTTGTCAACGCTGAATTAAAGAAAGTCTGTGAATGGCTTGCAATAAACAAACTCACCCTTAAATCAAATTTTGTAATTTTTCGACCATATCAGAAGTCATTGAATTTCCAGCCTGTAATTAAAATGTTTGATAATGATACCAAACAATATACACCACTTGAATGCAAAGAATATGTTAAGTACCTTGGAATTATTATTGACTGTAACTTGAACTGGAAGCATCACACAAATTATATTACATTAAAGATTAGCAAAACTGTAGGAATCATTTCTAAATTGAGATATTACATCCCAAATCATACCTTGTTAGATATTTATAGGTCATTGATTTCACCATATTTAACATATGGTGTAGTTGCTTGGGGAAATGCTGCTAAATGAATTTTAAATCATTTCAAGATCACGCAATTCCTCTATTCCTTTCTACCTACATTCTTCCTGTAACTATGATCTATGTTAAAGAATCTGCTTACATGCTCTACGATATATTAAAAGGGGATGCGCCTGAAGCACTGCATAATTTATTTACCAAAACGTCTAATTATCATAACTATGATACAAGAATGGTTTCAAAAGATAACTTATATATCAATTCTTCTCGTCTGGAATTACAAAAGCGTTCATTTTCCAGAGTCGGTACTTTAATTTGGAATAGCATTGATCTCAATCTTCACTCATCTCGTAAACAGACTTTTAAATCTAAAATACATCAAGCTCTTTTAGCCATACTTCAAGATCAAAATGACTATGTTGACGTACCCATGATAATTGAAATGCTGCCCAATGTAACCGCGATATAATTTTCAGCTCATCATAACTTTCTAATTGCTTTCAAAAAGAATATATTTGTGTCACGAATAATATTTTTCATTTAAAAATTATCATAGCCAATCGGAATCTAAACTCTCGTTCTGTAAATAATTCATTTTACTTCTTCTCAATATAAATCAGTTGTATATATATAATATTATTTACTTAGATTCATTTCCTGCCGCGATTAGCTTGCTATTGCAGGATTTGAATCTTGTATTTTGTCATGTGTATTATTCAAATAAAGTTGTATTGTATTGTATATGAAAGTTCACATATTAAATTACCAAAATTCACATATGAAGTGGTTTCTTTCATGAAATTTCTTTTTTCATATGTAAATTGTATAACTTCATATATGACTTGATTTTCATATATGAAAATTCTTATATGAAATTAGCTACCAAATTTCACATGTGAAATGGATTTCATATATGAAATTTAGTTTTTCATATGTGAATTGTATAACTTCATATGGGACATAATTTTAATGTATGAAAATTCTTATATGAAATTACCAACTTTCACATGTCAAATGGATTTCATATATGAAATTTCTTTTTAAATATGTGAATTGTATAACTTCATATATGACTTGATTTTCATATATGAAAATTCTTATATGAAATTACAAACTTTCACATGTGAAATGGATTTCATATATGAAATTTCTTTTTAAATATGTGAATTGTATAACTTCATATATAACTTGATTTTCATATTTGAGGATTCTTATATGCAATTACCAAATTTCACATGTGAAATGGATTTCATATATGAAATTTAGTTTTTCATATGTGAATTGTATAATTTCATATATGACTTGATTTTCATATATGGAAATTCTTATATGAAATTACCAAATTTCACATGTGAAATGGATTTCATATATGAAATTTAGTTTTTCATATATGAAATTAAAATTTCATATATGACCTGCTTTTCATATATGGAAATTTAATATGTAAAAAAGAGAATTTCACATACGAAATTGAAATTCCATATATGAAATTACCTTTTCACATGTGAAATTCTAATTTCATATATGAAAATCTTCATTTCATATATGAAAATCTTCATTTCGTATATGAAAATCTTCATTTCATATATGAAATTCCAATTTCATATATGAACTTTAATGTGAAATTTTTGTAAGGGATGTGTCGGGTTTTTAATTACCGGACAAAATTTCAGATAATTTGGTTTAGTTTAAGCCCTTTAACTATTCACGCAAAGTTACATTTTCCCTAAAAATCAGCTATTTGCATGCTTAATTAATGCATTTGCCTAATTTGCATATGTCAGCAATATGTAAATTAGGTAAAGGTATTAATTAAGCATGCGAATTGAAAGGCTGATTTTTTAGAATAAAATGAATAGTTAAAAGACTTAAACTAAACCAAATTGTCTGAAATTTTGCACAGTAATTGAAAACCCAACAAATGTTCCATCTATTAACTCAAAATATGATTAAAGCTTTTACATTTTGTGCACACCAAATAGCACACCCCCCTGATTCACAAAATTTGAGTTCGAGAATTATTTTTCATTATTCTACATCATAAATACCCAAAGAAGCTATATATATAAACGACCAGATACAACTAGCTGTTTTGCGAAATTGAGAGCGATTTCAAATCTGTTCAGTTTTTTTATACACCCTGGATGGTCTAATAAAGCTGTTTGGATAAGAGCTATCGCGTCAACCGCGCGTACAGAATCTACAACAATCAACAGTTGCTTCAACTCAAAGCCATCCAAAACTTCATGTCTTAGAATGTTTTTTTTTTGCAACTAGGTAAAAAAACTGATCAACGTTTTTACACCATGTAACACAAGCAACAACATGCAAAATTCTGGTACTGAAGAGTCGACGTCCCCTCAAAGCCTACCGAAAATACGGCTACGTTTATTGTTCGGTGCCAAATACAGCAACACTTTTACAAAAAAAAATTATTAACAAAACCCGTTGCAGGTCCATGCAAATTTATTCTTCTCTGGAAAACCGCCCAAGTCAACCGTTTTCTCATACAAAGACAAAACTAAAATAAATATCAAAACTTTGTAGTTTACAAGTTTTGAAATTTCTCTCCTGTTTGCAAAAGCTCGTATAATGGCAAAACAGGTCGTTGTCTTTTTACCGGCCTTAAAAAACCAAATAATTGCAAACGTCAGAAATGAATGCCCACATTCACTCTTACGAACACTTTCAACACATTAAAACCCAAATGAAACTAACGCTTGATTGTACTGAAACTATAAACACTAACACACCACAATATTCCCTTCTATTGTATTATAAGTAATAGCATGGCTTGAGGGAGATTAGTGATTAATTAAGTGATTTTGTAAATTTTAGTATATTTCCATGTAAGCATATTGTAATTCATTTTCAATGCGATAATATGCAAATAAACCATTAATAATAATAATAATGAAAACTTTTTTGAATTTTTTACGTATATATACAATTGAAAGTCTCACTACTGACTTAGGTAATTTACAATTGTCTACATGAATCACAGAGTACTACATATGTACTATTTACAATAAAAATGGGTATATGATTATATATATTGTCGTATGTAGTTATTAATTTGAATGTTTAACAATTCAGGGTTTGCCCACTCTTTGTTTCGACAGCAAAAAATATAGTACGTCGCTCTAATGGCATAAGACGTCATCTTTTTTATGCAGTAATGTTGCTGCTTTTTATCCATTCCTATAGTGTCTAACATTTCTAAAAAGGTGAAACATTCTTCGTCAAACACACCGAGAGAGCTCATTGATAGGTTTACAAATTTTACAGAATTAAAGTGACTCCTTTGATCTTCAATTAGATCTTTGTATTTAGCTTTTTTGCGATCAACGTTATTGTGTAGATTAAATTCAAACCCGACAATAAGTTCAACGACATAAAGATCTTCATTTGGGGTAATTAAGATTAAGTCCCGTCGATATAGGTCACCAGTTATAATTGACGGGCTTTTTTGGCCGGATAGGTCAGCATAAAGTTGACATGGATTTGTTGTTTGAAACGTTTCAGCGAGAAAGTTTAAAAGAGAATCATGTCTCCAAGTAAAGCGCTGAAGGTACGATTGGCAGCCGGCTACCACGTGTAATAGGGTTTCAGGCCACAAACAAAAGGAACATTCGAGACTTGAAGCTATAAACCCCATCGTGTGAGGTTTTTTCGCGTAGGAAGGAGTTATTTATGTAACGGACGGTGAAGTTGAAAATGTTCTTTGGCAGTTTTGATTGAGCGGCAGACCAAAGTATGTTTAACTTTGAAAAGGAAAACTTTGCAACATTCAAGAAAAATGAACCTTGACAAATTAAACGGTGTTGAAGCTTATCTTCTTGTCCAGAATGAAAATCCTTGAGAAATTCCTTTGTTGAATTATATATGTCGTACTGAATATTAGTGTGATTGTTAGTTGATTTCCAGAGTTCTTTTATGGAAACATTTGGGGATGTTTTTAAGGCGTTGCGTAGGACAGTTTGACATTGGATAAATTTGACGGATGCAGGGAGGATATTCAGACCGAATATATATATATATATATATATATATATATATATATATATATATATATATATATATATATATATATATATATATATATATATATGCTGATAAGCTGGTTGAAGGTAACTATTATTAATAGTTACCTTTGATGCCTCACGAATGTGGGACATCAAACCATTGCCAGAGTGCTCAAACTGCAAGCAGTGAGCATGCGCACAATGCGTAAGCAGCAATGGCCCATCCTGTAGAGTGCTCAATATGGCCTAAAGGCCATAGAGCAATATCTAACTACAGACGGTACCGTTTCAGCCTTTTTGGGCCTCATCAGTGTAGTGCTGATGAGCAGGATGAAAGTAACTTGTATTAATAGTTACCTTTGATGTCTCACGAATGTGGGACATCAAACCATTGCCAGAGTGCTCAAACTGCAAGCAGTGAACATGCGCACAATGCGTAAGCAGCAATGGCCCATCCTGTAGAGTGCTCAATATGGCCTAAAGGCCATAGAGCAATATCTTCACATCAACACATGTTCAAATCATCACATGTTCAAGTTGCGGAATAGTATATGTTCGAGAAACCGGTAGAACAATTGGATCGCGAATTAAGGAACACTTAAAGATGGACAAACAAACTGTGTACAAACATATAGAATTGCATAAGGGTGGACGACCAGATCAGTCTGACATAACTTGGAAAATATTACATAGAAATATAGCCTACCAAGATGAACGCAAATGTATTGAAGCCTTTGAAATACATAATCGTAGCGAAAATATTATGAACGGTTGCATAGGTAGAACAATTAGTATTTAATTACTCAAACATTGCTTGACCGGACTCGTAGCTAATTGACATTTCAAATATATATATATATATATATATATATATATATACATATATATATATATATATATATATATATATATATATATATATATATATATATATATATTATATATATATATATATATATATATATATATATATATTATATACCGGGTGTCCCAAAAAAAGTACTCCTGTTTGATTCGTAATAACTTCTAAACAAGTAAAGCTTTCAAAGAGAAATAACTTGCATCAAATAGAGGAAGGACTAACTTAGATTTTGATATATTACAGTTGTATTTCACTTAAAAATTCACGGAGATATTAATGTTTAAAATCGGAAGCATATTTCTGGATGTGTCTGAAATATGCAAAAAACGGCGTATCAAATATTAATCAAGAATTGCCCGACTGAAACATGCACGATTACCAGTAAATAAATGACACTTGACAAATTGTTTATTATGAAACAAATTATTATTATCTACAAAATACAAGCAAGATTTATTCGTCCGAAATCCGTGTGTGTTCCTAGCACGAATACGTTTCCTTATTTCAAGAGACCACTGCATCGCGAAGGATTGTCATGGATCGTTCGTATAGTTCTGAATTAGGGCATGCTGTCACAATCGAATTGTGAAGCTCTTCTAACTTTTGCAACGTTCTGAAATCTTGTTAAGAACACTCAAACTCTTTTGCCTTTTCTTAATCTTTTTAAGTTCAGAATAAACTGAGAATGAAACACAATCAAACCATACAACTCGATAAGACATAACAAGCATGCAACTCCCCAGAGACATCCAACATTTTTGGAACAAAATGTAACAAAATAGTAGCGTTGATACTGTGATGTGTATTTGCAAAAACCAATATTATTTCCTTCATTGCAGAATAATATTCATCCTGCTCTAACCGAGAAATAATCAACTCTGTTTTGAATCCATGAAAAACATAAAAAAATTAGGCTATTTAAGAAATTTTAAAATTTAAGCACCTGCCTTGCGTGGTCTTTCATGTACCTTATAAGTTTGTAAAGACCTATTAAATACTTGCATAATTTCGTACGTTCATATTTCAGGAAACAATGAGCTAAAACTTACATGTAAGATGTCTAAATCTATGCCATATCCCTTACAAACCCTAACGACAATTCGCTGAAATACAAGTTAGCTTGAGATGTCATCAAGCAAACAAACGCTGAAGTTAATATTTGATATGCCGATTTTCGCTAATTTTAGACACATTCAAAAATATGCTCCCGATTTTGAACATTAATATCTCCGTGAATTGTTAAGTAAAATACAACTGTAATATATCAAAATCTAAGTTAGTCCTTCCTCTATTTAATGCAAGTTATTTCTGTTTGATAGCTTTACTTGTTTAGAAGTTATTACAAGTCAAACCGGAGTACTTTTTTTTGGGACACCCGGTATATATATATATATATATATATATATATATATATATATATATATATATATATATATATATATATATATATATATATATATATAAAATTGAAGTTTGTTTCGCCATTTATTACACGCCATAAAGATGAAATAGTGTACACATAAGTTCATAATCTTGAAAGAATCCCTGGTGTTGCTAAATATCTTCGTACAAAGCAAGAAAATACGCTTAGTCGCAATAATATATGAAACTTGAAAATCGTGTAGCTCATTGTTTACCTCAAATCTGATTTCACATATCTCAAGAGGAGGAGGAAGTGACCTATCCTGTATAATTTTCACTATGGCGCGCGAGTGACTGGTTCCGAGAGTACGCATTTTGACGTATGGCATATAGTAAAAATGCTATTGCGAAACTCGTAAATTTTAAGATTTTGATCGCAATTTACAAAAAAACTGCAGGGTGAACCCGCAAGAACTTTTTAGATTTGGATTCAGCGTCACTTAATCTATAAGAATATGTAATTTTCTTTTAGTTTAAAGAGGTGTGCAACGAAAATCGTTTTCTAGCCATCTTTTGGGGCACTAGACGACGGCCTAATAGAGCAAATGTAGAATTTCGCTTACCTCAAAATTCCGCAACAGTCTGTTTCATCAGTAAAGAATCATCAGGCGCCCGATGATTCTTTACTGATGAAACAGACTGTTGCGGAATTTTGAGGTAAGCGAAATTATTTATATATATATATATATATATATATATATATATATATATATATATATATATATATATATATATATATATATATATATATATATATATATATATATATATATATATATATATATATATATATATATATATATGTTAATTGTGTTATTAAACACTCCGTAATATGTTAAGATGAAAATGTTCTAGAATGTGTATGAGTTCCATACTCAGCGCAAGCAGAAAGATGTTGTCTGCCGCGGCTGGGTCTTGAACCCGCGACCTAGCTCCGAATTACTAGATCGACGCTCTACCAACTGAGCTACACGGTCAGACGGATTTAAGACTGGAAATTATGAAATATATACTGAATGTCATAAACATCAGCCGCGGCAGACAACATTTTTCTGCTTGCGCTGGGTATGGAAATTATATCATACACACTCTATAACATTTTCATCTTAACATATTACAGAGTGTACAATAACACAATTAACATGACACTTGCAGAACTAGTATTGTTCGATGCTGAATTACTAGAAGTTACCATCGCAAGGAAGGTGCTGCCTTATCCCCAATGGATCAAAGCCAGCATGTGCATTTGCTGAATAAGGGGTTGTTTATATGATCCTGCTTTGCCAGGATCAGATACGAGGCAGAGTGATTTCGATGTATTGAAATAAATCATGGTCTACAACATTTCAGTTCTGTTAACCAGCATTTGAAGTTTCATTTAGCCTAGTGACTTATTTCAATAGTCAAAATCATCCCATCTTCCAGCATGTAAACAGCCCCTAAGACCTGTTCATGGGGTAGGAAAAATGCATTTTGAATACCAAACACCTTGCACAATGTCGAAGGTCAGCCAAATATTCTATTTCTACTTTGTTGGCATGGGCCATGGGTGATTTTATATGAATACCTTCAATGCTAATAACTTCTTGTATGTATAATCACAATACTGTCAGTGGTGAAGCTAGCCATAGCAACAGGTCATGCTATGCAAGTTTGCTATAATCTGCTGATGGGGAGACAAAATCTATTTGTTGACATTTTTGTTTAGTACATTTGCTTCAGATGACACCATTCATTTGCAATGACTAAGATTGTACTCAGTCAGAACTGCATAACTATATAATAGGAAAGAATTTGTGAGCACTATCGAAAAATATAGTATACCCTGAAATGTAGTGACACAGGCACACAACCAGGGTGAATATATGAATGTAGGCCGGTAGGATTATTTCATATTTATGCTAATGCACCAGTCAAAGTAAACTCCGCCCACCCCCCACCCCCGGGATATAGGTGGGGATTGGCTTTGAATACCGTACCAAAACAGACAAATGCCCCACAATATGGGACAAAATTTTCTAGCAAAAGACAAAAAATGCCCACCCCCGGGGGAAATTGTAAGTCGTGTGAGCGACTTTATCTCCTGCATAATATCTCCTCGACAATCTCCGGGCCGCCGCATTAATCGTCCACATTTTAAAATATTAATATTTTGTTCCAAAACTCAAAAGAACAATAAAAACATATTAATATAAACAAACAAATGTCGAACTTTCCACAACAATATAGATTCCATGCATGGATGGATGGACATATTAATATAGATTGAAAAGGAATGAATATATTCATAAAATACCTCTCGATTTCACTTCCTTGCGATTGCCAGCATGCCATCTTGACCTTTGTCACATGGTATAAAATGGTAGAATTAGGGGATTCCATTGGACAAAACGGTACAAAATAGTACAAAATGGCCGCCGACAATCCCTAACAATCCCCACTATCTTCTCGGGGTAATTCAGCAGAATGACAAAACCAACAAATTCCCGACATGGTTGGGACAGAATTCGATGACAAAAAGCCACTAAATCCCCACCACATCCCCTCTTTACCCGGGGTGGGGTGGGGGGGGGGGTTACTTTGACTGGTGCATAACAATGTACATATTTTTACAGACCACCATACCTTGTACAACGTACATACCTTGTACAATACCTTGTACATGTTATATTAATACATGTACGCTATTAAACTGCTGGTAAGTTAATATATGCAGACAACAACTACACTGTCGTCTGTCGCTGGGTTATTATTAAACTGCATGGGTTGGCAGGTTGCTATAGGAAATATCTTTACATTATAAAGCATACCGGGCCATGATACCGCACAACATTCAGCGTTTTTAAAACGTTCTGAAAGCGAATTGCTATGTCTATGACGAGGTCTATGAACATCTAGAATGAACACTAAACTCATCGCCTTGGCGCATCGCCACACAAGCAAATATAAAACCAAAAGTACATCATTTTGACCCCAAAATATATTAAAAAGACGATCTATTGTTTCAAATACTTCATATCGAACGCTAAACAGTAGATCTAAATATAAATGCCTTCATGTAAATCACCAGAAAGAAGTAAAGCTATCCTTACCTGAATTATTCAAAATATTGTCGATTTGAGAAAATCCAACATGTATCATGCGAGCGCAATACAAAATAAATTTTGACCGCCCCGCTCGTTTAAAAAAACTTCCTCAAGCCTTAATTAGTTCCCCGAAATTACGACATCTTTACATACATACATACATACATACATACAGACAGACAGACAGACAGACAGACAGACAGACAGACAGACACTGAAGACACAAATCGAAATCTCGATCGACTGTACATATCTCGGCCAAAGAGACTGGGCACAAGTAAACGCAGGCACGCAATACTTCATGTTAAGAATAGTGTGCTGCCTTCGGCAGCAATAATCATCTTTACGTAATTTAAAAAATTTCGGCTTCGCAGAATTTTTTTTAAATTGTCAAAATAATTGATTATACAAAGAGAAACAACTTTTAAAAATAAAATTTGGGGTCACTGATGACGTTTACGAGTTAAATTACTTTAACGCCAAAATATCCGCCATCTTGTAACGTCATTGTTGCCATAGCAACGGCAGTTGCTTAACTTTTGTGCAAAAATTCAAACTCTTTGGATGTTATTTTATATAAGTAAGGTACTTTTTGTTTATTAACAAATAATAATTGTTCAAAAATACGCATCTAAATCGCCATTGAATTTTCCTATTTTCTTAAAAACTGTATTGAGCTACCTTAACTACAAAAGCATGGGCAGTTACGAAGTAGTTAAGGGGCGTGCCATTAGAAAAGTGATGGGGTTGGGGGGAAGCAAGAATAAAAATCGAGCAGGAAAACAGAAAGAAAAAAAAATTCGTGCACCAAAAAGTTTGAAAAAAATTCGTGCACAGACTTTTCAATAAGCCAAATTATAAGTTAAAAAAGAAAAATTCGTGCAAGGGATTATATTTTAAAAAATTATCTACACAAGCAAAAAATTTAAAAAAAATATTCGTACAAGTTGGAATTTCCCCCCCCCCCCATCACTTGTCCAATGGTCCGCGCCCCTAAGAGTTTTATACAACCTATATAGAGACTGGAATAAGCATAGGTGTGTAGTTCCCTCTGCACACTGTGAAAACGGTTTGGTTAAAATAACTAAATTGATTTGGTTGTCTCAGATGCACTTTCTTTTGACCAATATAATTTGCCTTCTGGTCAAAACAACCGAAAAATTGGTTATAATAAAAACATTCAGTGTGATGATATAGTTGGTGTACATGTGTAAAGTAAACCTAAAGCTTTACTTAATTTATCTAATGCAACCTGACTGTTTATATATACTGCAAAGATTCTTGCCTCGTACTTGAACTGGTACAAACTCTTAACTCAAGGTGTACTCAGTCACTAAAGTGGCACTGTCATCAAAATTTTTATTTTCTTAAACTAAAATGCTCTTAAAACTGTATGGTAACTTGTTTTGAAGATTTTTGTTCCCATGCTTAGTTCTTGAGATATTTCATTTTGTTTGTAACCATGTGACGTCATTTACTCAATTACATATATAATGAGATATCAGTAATTGTTGTCGAAAGTAGTATAGTTAATTTAACCTACATCATTAAGCATACTGTTTTTTTAAACAAATTCATCAAAAATATCAAAGATACACAAGAATTACTAATCTCATTATATACGTAGTTGAGTAAATGACGTTACATGGTTACAAACAAAATGAAATATCTCAAGTACTAAGCGTGGGACCAAAAATCTTCAAAACAAGTCATAATACAGTTACGACCATTTTCGTTTAAGAGAATAAAAATTTTGATGACAGTGCCACTTTAAAATAAAATACATAAAGATTAAAGTACAGGTTTCTGAAAGATTTTGACAAAATCGTCTGACAAAATGTCCGATGACTTTGAGTTTGGGTCGGATATATATATATGATGATGTCCGATGACCTTCAGTTTAGTTTGCTTCGGAAATAAATCTGATGACACAAATTAATATCAGCACAATGTATTAATTCCAAACTGTAAATGTTGTGCAGGTATTAAATAATTTGGTCTCATTCATATTTATTTCCAAGCCAAAAGCCAAAATTAACTTGCTTGCCTATAACAGCAGTAAGACTTCGACAACTTTCCACTTCACCATTTTGCTAGCCACCCAGCGCTCAGTTACATTAAAACAACATTTCCAGTTCACTATTTATACATTACCCTGATTCTCCATTTAGCTTACGAGCCTCAAGTCCTGGCGTAGGGTACATTTTGATTCACGTCATGGACAAAGCTATACAATTCGGTCGGACACGCGAATACATTCGGTTCGGACAAACAATAAACCTCAGTTTCACTTGGGTCGGACAGATTGTCCAGCGGTTTCGTCACTGCGTCGGACAATTTCACGAATGGGTCGGACAATGTCCGTGACCGACTGGGAGTTATAGATCAAGGAGTACAATTGGATAAACAAACACTACAATCGACTCCAATATTTCTTAGTCCCATTTGATCTCATCAGACATCACATCAGACGTCCAGTCGTGTTTAATGCCAAGTCCTGTTGTTTAAAAGTTTTTGTTATTGTTCAACATATGAATATGATTATGTGCTGATTAATTTAACGCAGCGTGTAAAACAGTAAAAAACTCTTTGCTCTGTATTCATGCAGTTGAACCATTTTTAATTGAACTGAGTGAAATTTCTAAGACTATGGGACTAATTTCTAAGTCGTTTTAACTTTCAATTAGAATTTTCATGTACAATTTATGCAGTTTTAACATACTCGTACGATTACAATGCATTCTAAACTCGCAGTTTGGGTGTTTACAACAAAAGGGTGATTTCTAGTAATGTTTTTTTTAGACACCCTGTATAGTACTCACTACTTAGGCATTCATATTATAACAATCAGGTGAATTTATAAAGATTGTCTTTTTTGAGACACCCTGTATTTTGTCGCTTTGAAGTTTGTCGGGCTTCCAGAGCATCATGCCTTGACACAGTTAAAAACGTGGGTTCTAATTTTCGTGAAATGATTAATTTTTTACATGTGAAACGTGTAAAAGTGATCCTATAGACAGCAGAGGCGGTTGGCGGAAGCTTTACGTGCGACATTTTAATAATGAATGGTTCTCACATCTCTGCGGAAATCTTGAGAGGTTTTTTAATAATGAATGGTTCTCACGGAACTCTTGAGAGGCAACAGAATACAAGTGTGTTGCAATAATTGTGTTGCAATTTTGTACAGACGTGATTTGGGTTTACATATAAAGCTTTTTTGTCGTACGAATTAAGGTTCTTACTTTCTCGAAACGTCGAGAAGTGCATATTTTTCATTTTCCGATTGTTTTTGACGTGAAATCGACTGCATGGTCTCAATTTGATTACCTTACGAAATATTTTAAGCTTTTTAGAATAATCTGAAGAATAGCTAAGTTGGTCAAAAATGATGCAGTGTCTTTTATAAGCCCTATTTTAAATAACGCTGATGTTAATAACTCATATTAAAGGCTCCTCTCCAGTCACGCGTTTTTCATACGTGTGTATACTTAGTTTCTATACACACGTATGTGTGTATACTTAGTTTCACACGTATGTGTGTATACTTAGTTTCACACGTATGTGTGTATACTTTCACACGTATGTGTGTATACTATATACACGTATGTGTGTATACTTAGTTTCTATACACACATACGTGTGTATACTTAGTTTCTTAGTGTGTATACTTACTTAGTTTCCTTTATGTATTATGTGTAATTTGGGGGTAGTTTTAGTTTGATATAATGTCTAATAATATAAAAACTTCATGAGAATGCAATATGATATACACTTTATATATATTGTAAAATATTGTAAAAAAATACTGATGTCTAAATACGTTTTGATTTCAAAATATTGGTGGACTTACTTGTTTACTGTGTCATTTAT